GGTCACAAGGTGCTCAGTGGGGGAGCTTTTTGAGACAGGATGAGCCTGGAAAAGGAATTTCACACACAAAAAAAATCATTGCTTAAGGCAAGGACCGGCCATTTTCACTTATTTCTGGTAGAATGTTATCGGTTAAGTCCAGGCAGGGCATTGGCACTTTTGTGATTCTTCAGTTACTTCAGGCCATCTGGGCGTATATACGTGCAAGTCACAGGGGATGCGACGGCTTGGCTTGGGCTCAGGCTTGACAACCATAGTCTTTACTTTTAAGGTGTGGGGTAAGATCATATAATCCCCAACTAAGCTCCTGATGCTGTGTGTGGCATCCAGCAACAGGACGTTCCATTCCTGGATTACATTTGACTCAAGAGTCCACAGTGAGAACGAGTTCTGGTGAATGAAACACCATGCAGGAGGGTGATTCCGCTGGGCAGCTCTTCACACACGGCCCAGGAGCTGAGGGGAGAGGAAGAGGCCCACGCGTGTCCACTGTGTTCATGCCCCCTTGGAATGCGCCCCACTCCTAGAGACCCGGACCCAAGGGAAATCTGACCTAAAAATGGGCAAACCCTCACTTTGGCAGAGGGACAGGGACTCGGGGCCACAACTTCACCTCAGAGCAACACAAGCGCAGACACAGCAACCCAGGACACCCTCCCCACTCAAATTCAAGGAGGAAAACCAACCCCCGCCCCCTTGCGGAAACCCCCGGCTGCTGGAGCAGACGCCTGCCGGCGTGTGCAGCCTCTGCCGTCCCACATTCCGGGCTCAGCACCTGTGCCTCAGCCCTGGCACTGCTCACCACACCCACAGGTGTGCCAGGAGGGGCAGGTCCTAAGGTCTCCACTGCACCAAAGCCTGCAAGGCAAAGGGGCAGCTCCCTCCAGCAGGAGTCCAGAAGCACACACTGCACCAGCGTCACCAGGGAATTCTCCCCTCGGTCTCCAAGTCTCCAGTCTGTTGCCCGCCTGCCAATGGCAAGGCCCAAGCTGGGCGGCACGTTTGGTTCTCACCATTTCCCTTGTCAAGATCAATACTGCGAACATATCCAATTCATCCTGTCACTAAAAATGAAATAATCCGCCATCTCCATCACAGATGACGCAACCAGGTTTCCATTACCGGGGTGTTTTTTGTTTGTTTGTTTTGTTTTTGTCTATTTTGAGATGGAGTTTCTGCTCTGTTGCCCAGGGTGGAGAGCAGTGGCGCAATCTCGGCTCACTGCAACCTCTGCCTCCCGGGTACAAGTGATTCTCCTGCCTCAGCCTCCCAAGTAGCTGGGATTACAGGTGCCTGCCACCATGCCCGGCTAATTTTCATATTCTCAGTACAGACGGGGTTTCACCATGTTGACCAGGCTGGTCTGGAACTCCTAACCTCAGGGGATCCACCTGCCTCCTCCTCTCAAAGTGCTGGAGTTACAGGCGTAAGCCACCAGGCCCAACCATTACTGGTGTAATTTCTAAGCCACTCTCTCACACCCACTCTCATCTTTTTTTTTAAAAAAAAAAAAAAAAACAAGCTTTATGCCTATATTTTTTCCAAGAGAACCAGTTACCCATTTGAAGTACAAATAAGACACCATGTTTAAAAACCAAAAATGCCCACTTGCACAGAAGTCTCCAAATACCCAGTCGATTTAAGCCTTGAGAATAAGATCAAGCTGTTGGCTGAATACAACTTCCCTTTCCATCTGTCTGCCTGTGAGTTAGACACAAGGACGAAGCCATGAGCTAGGGGCATAAAGGCAGGAACCACCAAGGCAGCCGAGACTCCAAATAAAAGCTCGAAGGACCAACACAAATGCACCACACCCTGCACGCCCTCCTCTCCTTCCTTTTCAGAATTTCCAGAGGATGAAACAGGGACCTCCTCAGACGTCCCACGGTGCAGGTGGCCAGAGGGGAAGGCGGCAGCAGCCTGAATAAGGTGACCAGGAAATCACATTCCACAGACAGAAATTCTCCATGTGCTTTACATCCTCTGTCTCTGAAGAACTATGCCAGCCTAACAGTCGCTAGAAAACCGCCTTCAAGTGTCATTTCCCATTTCAAGCAAAAAAAACAGTGGTGGGGCATGAGGGAAAAACATAGCCATGTGTTCTGGGGTATTAAATAAGGTTTTTTCTGTTATAAACGTATAATTTTACATTCTCAGATTTCTGTATAATTGATATGCTTCCTAATTAGCAGACATAGTGATAAAAAGTGAATTCCAAGTGTAAGATCGGAGGAACCGTTCACATGGCTTCAGGTTCTGCTACTGTGTTTCAACTTAAGAAAATGGTTCTCTGTGTTGGTAACAAGCTCTGAGAGTCTGTGTGGCTGTAATCAGGGTTCGTGTTGGCTCTGAACCAGAGGATGTTACACTGTTACATTATCTTCTACAAAAAACCCTGAAAAAATGAAGGCTGAATAGACATACACACCCTCCCAAAATAATCCAAATGTCCACCGATATGAAAAACAGATGAATTACGGTTTCCATCGTGGAATATTCCTCAGCAGTGAAAACAAACTATAGCCACAGGTGCCAACTAGGATAAAGAAAACCTTTTAAACACGTTTAAAGTGAACTGACTAGGTGGAATTCCTCGATAACAGGCATCTGTTCCAAAAGGGTACTGATCTGAATCCTGTGATGTAGAATGATAGTTAGCAACCCTGTTTCAGGGCACATCTAGAAAAAAAACAAAATAATGACTACACAATTTTAAATTCTTTGTAAATTATAACTATTATTATGAAAATTCTAAAAATGTGAAAATCTTCCCAACTATTATTGGACAAGCTTCAAAATAAATACCCTGGCATTGCTTGCCGCACCCACAGGTGTGCCAAAATAAATGAAAATATAGCCCAAGTTAGTAGAATTGAAATCTGAAGATGTACGAGCTGTCCCTGCCTCGCTATCTATACATCGTGTAGAAATTTAAGAGCAGGTAGTGACACTGCAATGCAAGGCTCAAACCAACTGGGTATTTGGAAACTTCTATGCAAATTGGCATTTTCGGTTTTTAAACACGGTGTTATTTGTACTTCAAACAGGTAACTTTTTGATTCCCTTGGAAAAAATATAGCCATAAACCTGGTCTAGAAAAAAATATATATATGGGAGTGGGTATGAGAGAGAGTAGCTTAGAAATGTTAAAAGTATCAGCAGGGAGCAGTGGCTCATGCCTGTAATCCCAGCACTTTGAGAGACAGGCCCAAGGGGCCTTTGAGGACACCGGTCTCCTCTGCTGCCTTCCTGCTGGACTGACCCCCCAGGACATTCACTGGGTTTCCACCCCTGTCTCATTTAACATCCCAAGGGTGGTCTTCATCCTCATCTGGGGCTCAGCTCTGCCCCAATTTCTTAAATCTCTGCCTTCAGAGCCTGAAAACACCCACGCCCAGGGTCACCCTAAGTCCATGTTTACCCCAGAGAGTCCCAATTTTATGTTTTCCCAGCATCGCCTTAGTGATAATTTATCCTGTCAATTCCAACTGCCTTCACACCTCACCCTTGCTGTCTCCCAGCAGACCCCACTCAGATGCACATGCCCCAGACCCCACACCCAGGTCTGTGCATGCTGCCCTGCTCTGCCCATGTGGGGACGACCTCTCTTTCTTGAGGAATCAGCTGGCGATCATCTCCTTGTGGAGGGCTGCCCTGACTTCCAACTCTCTCTAGCAAAGGCAGAAGCCATCCTCGGTACTTCCCCAAAACTCAGGCCAAGTATGAAGATGGCGCAGATGCTAGCTGTGCCTGGGATGCCATGGGCAGGGTCCCCAGATGCTCTGCACGTGGCCCGGGGCACCGCCTGAATACAGCAAGTGCTGAAGAAACAAAAATGACGTGCGCTGACCTCTGATAGGGACTCCTTCACCATCCACATCTGTCTCCCCTCTGGACAGTAAAATCCACAAGACACGGAGGGCTTGTCTCACTCATCTTCAAACTCCCAGGGTCACCCTGGTAGGTAAAGGGGACTCAAATGTCTTCTGAAGGAAGGGGCTGGTAAGCTGCCAAGTTAAAAGGCCTCTGAAATTCAGAGCTCTGCATAGGAGTCCAGCACATTTTATTATGAATGACTCCAACCACAGCAGAAGTGGCCGTGGAACCAGTGCTAACCAATTCAGGGTTTGTTCACTGTTTCTCAGTTCATTATCACAACTCGCTCTAACAGAGCAGCCGCGCACAGATCCTCAGATGTCTACACAGAGTGGGACGATGGCGCCGAGTCACGTGAACGTCCTGTTGCAGACTGGGAGACACTGGACAGACACGGACCCAGGCAGAGCACAGACCTCGCGTTAAATTGGCTCCGTGTAAACAGCACTCCCTGCCAGGCCCTTTCCTATCTGCACAGCTTCTACAAATTCAACTCTCGCACCTGATACCTAATAAAACTGCACATCCCCATGTGAACCCCCCATTTACCTCCCAAAATGACCCGGCATGGCCGAGCACAAAAAATTTCAACATAGGGGCCGGGCGCGGTGGCTCAAGCCTGTAATCCCAGCACTTTGGGAGGCCGAGACGGGCGGATCACGAGGTCAGGAGATCGAGACCATCCTGGCTAACACGGCGAAACCCCGTCTCTACTAAAAAATACAAAAAACTAGCCGGGCGAGGTGGCGGGCGCCTGTAGTCCCAGCTACTCGGGAGGCTGAGGCAGGAGAAAGGCGTAAATCCGGGAGGCGGAGCTTGCAGTGAGCTGAGATCCGGCCACTGCACTCCAGCCCGGGCGACAGAGCCAGACTCCGTCAAAAAAAAAAAAAAAAAAAAAAAAATTTCAACATAAGGGAACTGGAGGGCATGTGGGGCTTTCTCGAGTCCCTGCTGCCTCCTGATGGGAGGGCCCAATGCTTCACACTCCTAGTGAAGGGCGGGTCTCTTCGGCCCCCTGGCTTTGACCTGGAGCTTAAATCAGCATTAACTAATTTCACTTTCCAGGACCAACTTCAAAGGCCTGCAAAGCCAGAGAAGGGAGAGGAGATGGAACACGCCCTCACCTCAGACCTGCCGCAAGCACGCACTTCTCAGATGCGTCCCAAGGTGCACAGCGTGTCCGATGCCTGTTTCACATCCACTGACCTACAGGTCTTCTATGTGGCATCCGCCTCCTGGGCACTGGAAACAAGAGGTATAATGGCAAGTCCCCTATGCAGCAAAGGTAAGGCAAAGGGACCCAACGCAATGGAACTGACCTTTTTCTGACAGTTTCAAAACAGAAGGAAAATACTGTACAGCCAACTTCCCCTCACGCAGGTTTATTTATCTGTGACTCAGCGGCCATGACAGACAACTTCAGGTTCTTACAGATTCCTATTTTCCCCATCCAGGAAGCCTTTGTTTTTAATATCGTACGAACCTGCCATTTTGTAGGCCACAAACTGCAAATATTGGCAGTTTCCTATGGTTCAACTGAATAAAATATGATCATGGCCTTTTGTGAAACCATGAAGAAAAGGTGGATATCTCAATATGTGTTTCCAGACTGGCTTTGTTCCTGAAGCGGTAACTCTGTTCACTCAGGATTTTAGACACTGTAGAATAAACATCAATATCCCACCAAGAAAACCAAAAAAATGAAATAATTTTGCATCCACCTTGGAGCCTTTTTAGGACAAGGCAGGACACAAACTTTTAAAAAGCTGCAGTTGTCCCTCTGTATACACAGGGACATGGATTCCAGAACACCCCCCGAGTTTACCCAAATCTACGTATCCACAGGACTCCACGGCCACCCTATGGAACCGCATGTAGGAAACGTCGGCCCTCCACAAACCCAGGTTTTTTCAGTAAGGGTTTGGTTGGAAAATAATTAACATAAGTGTTCCTTCGAAGCTCAAAACCTATGTTGTTCAGGGTCAGCTGCATTTATTACTTGTGTCATATCTGAGGCCTGAAAGCCATCATTCTCGATACCTTAACGTGATGGTTAACAAACTAACTGTTCTGATTAGAAAGAGGAAAAAGCCTATTTTTTTTTTTTTTTTTTTTTTGAGGCGGAGTCTTGCTCTGTCGCCAAGGCTGGAGTGCAGAGGCACTATCTCGGCTCACTGCAAGCTCCGCCTCCTGGGTTCACGCCATTCTCCTGCCTCAACCTCCCAAGTAGCTGGGACTACAGGCGCCTGCCACCACGCCCGGCTAATTTTTTTGTATTTTTAGTAGAGATGGGGTTTCACCGTGTTAGCCAGGATGGTCTCGGTCTCCTGACCTCGTGATTCACCCACCTTGGCCTCCCAAAGTGCTGGGATTACAGGCTTGAGCCACCGCGCCCGGCCGAAAAAGCCTATTTTTAAGGTGACAATGAGAGTGGATGCAACTACGGTGAACGGAGAACAGACCTAAGCAAGCACCAAGGCTGGGGTGACTGCCTGTGCTCAGACCCACCACGGCCTGTTCCTCCATCTCCCTCTGCTGAAAGGGATAACCGCTTCTCCCCCACGACTAAAGGGCCTTTTTTAAATACTCACACGAGAAGTGCTATGAAAAGCTCAAAGGTCACAGATAACATTTTTTAAAATAAACATTAACGTAAGCATTTAACAAGCCCACTATGATTTTTTTTTAAAAAATGGTATTAAGTTCTTGGGTGTGGTGGCTCATGGCCGTAATCCCAGCACTTTGGGTGGCCGAGGTGGGTGCATCACCTGAGGTCAAGAGTTTAAGACCAGCCTGGCCAACATGGTGAAATCCCTTCTCTAACGAAAATATGAAAATTAGCCAGGCATGGTGGCAGACGCCTGTAGCCCCAGTTACTTGGGAGGCTGAGGGAGGAGAATCACTTGAACCCAGGAGGGAGAGTTTGCAATGAGCCAAGATCGTGCCATTGCACTTCAGCCTGGGCATTGAGTGTGAAACTCCATCCCAAAAAGAAAAAAAATGTATAAAGTTTTCTTTCCAATGAACCTATCGTTCAGCCACCGAGGTATCCTATAGCTACTTATTCAGCCATGAGATACACAACAGGAGATATAGGCGAACAGGACACAGTTCTTCCCTGAAAGAAGGCTGCACCCTCAACAGAAGGGAGGCGCACACTCCGAATGGAATCGGCATAGGGAACAGATGCTGCTGCAGGTGGAACTGGCTGCACAGAGCACCCGCTCAAGTGTCTGAGAAACAAGGAGCCATTGGTGCCATCACCTTCCATACCTGAGCTGGGGCAGTGGGGAGCCTGTCATCATCACCACCACCACCACCCGGGACAAAGAACCCCAGAACCACACAACGAACTTACAAACTCACCGAGGCAATGACCGAGCAATGTGTGTGGAGTGATGCGAACACGCAGATGTCAGGGCCATGCGCGGTGTTGGTTTTGTGCATCGACTTGAGCGTGCCCGGGGTGCCCAGGTGGCTGGTTCTGCATTATTTCTGTGTGAGATGCATGTTTGCCTCTGGACTGAGTGGAGACCCATCCTCGCCGGTGTGGGGTGGCACCACCCTATCCACCCAGGGCCCGAGTAAAACAGCAAGGCGGGGAAAACTGGGTTCACTCCACCTGTCTGGCTGATAGGCCGGTGACATCTGTCTTCTGTAGCCCGTGCTCCTTGGTCTCAGCTCCTCAGACCCGGGTGGGATCTGCACCCTCCGCTTCTCAAGTCTTCAAGCCACACCCTCCAAGGACTCCAGCTTGCAGGCTGTGTGTCCTGGGGCTTCTTGGACTCTGTAGCCCCTGCAGCAAGCCTCGCCCTGGAGACACACGCACACCCGGCTGGCTGTCTCTCTGGAAGCCCTGACTAAAAGCCGCCCCTAAAAGTGGTCTTCAGAGTTTCTTTCTAGCCCTAAGATCCCAGCGCCCCTCCTACAATTCTAGGCGGAAAGGTGAACGGAGACCAATGGACAGAGGTGTGTGCGAGGACACACCAGGCAGCAGCACTGGGCAGGAGGGCACTAACGCTCACTAAGCAAAGAATCAATGCTGCTTGCCACAAAAATGAGAGCAGTAAAGATTTCTTCAAACAGAAATGAGTTTGTTTCATGATTTGCTCTTAATACACAAGAAAGCATAAAATTAGGCCTATTAACAATTACGTAAGTCTTTAGAGGCCCTTGAACTACTTCTGTCCCTTTGTGTTTTTACAGAAAATAAGCCTGAGGTTAAAGAGAATAACGTCACTGGCCACAGCTGGGGCCACGCGAGGACACAGCTTATACCCCTGAGGTCCCTGGGTGCCCCGAGTCCTTCCCTTGCTATTTATGGAAATATGGGAGAAACCAGGAGGTCTGAGGGTAGACCTGGCCGTGCTCCCAGGGGCTGAGGAAAGCACCCATCTGTCCAGTCTTCCCTCCACCCTGCGGTTCCCTCTTACCCAGACTCGGGCTGACGGGGCTCATGCACTGAACAGCGCCATCATTAAACGTTTAGCTTCGCATCACGAGGGCCTCCTTTGGCCTCCTCTGACCACTCCTGAACCTGCAGTCAGCACTAGTCTGCAGGACACGCATGGACAAAGTTGATGGATCACGGCCTCCAACGAGGAAGGTGCCAGGCAAGGAGTCAGAGAGCGGGGGATGGAGCAGCACTCACCCAGGAAGGCGAAGGCCAACAGCGGCCACCACCGAGGACCTCCCTTCCCACCCTGAAGGCAGCTCACCCAGGGAAGAGAAGGCCGACACCGGCCACCACTGAGGGCCTCAAGGGCTCTCCCCACCCTGAAGGCGGCTGCGATCACATTTCCCATCGCACCAAGAGACCCCTGTATTGAGCACAAACCTTTCCGACCTTCGAATCAATAAGGAATCACAACACAGACATTCCCTCAATCCAAATGGCCAGCCCACAAAACAGACACGCAATCATACACATTTCCTGTGGGAAAATCAGTCAGTCCCTGGGGCCTCGCGCCAGGGGTGGGGGAGCATCCTGGGGAGTTGCCCCAGCCCCAGCCTGGCTCTTCTCTCTACAGCTCCTTTTCCCTCGTCTTCCCCCTGCCCCTTCCCACCCCCTCCTAGCCTCAGAGGCTCCTTCCTCAAATTCTTTTCCCTTGATGAAGTCATTCATGCCCAAAATACAAGGCAAAGTCATGGGGGCTCAAAAGAAAATCCATACCGTGGCTCGCGTTTTAGATTCTCATAAGTTTGAGAATAACCAAGCAAGAATCTTTGGCATGTGAATGCGGTCTGAAGGCATCTGAGCACAATGCCCGGCACTGGCCCGGAGTGGATCATGGGTGTCTCGGACATCTTCGCAATTCTACGCCAATTATTTTGAAACATACCAGCAGAATAGAACCATGTGAATAGCTGCTTCTCAGTTAAAAGTAGGAAAACACTCCAAAAGCTGCCCTCAAAAAACATCCTTCCCACCAGGAGTTTTCTGCATCGGGCCCTTCAGGCACAGGCAAGGCCCCTGGGCCCAACTCCCTCATCCCTGCATCATAAAGCAGCAAAGACGGTGGGGAATAAAGCAAGTGAAGGAGTCAGTCCCGCACAAAACGGGCTCCAGAAGCCACAGCCACTCTCCCAGTGTGGGAGCCAAGTTCAGAGACCTGGAAACACCAGCGTTCCCAGGGAGGAGGGCAGAACAATGCCATTTCCCCCTAGTTTAGGGAGACACCACCCCACGTCCTCTGGCCTTAATAGAAGAAACACTTCACATAAATGATTTCAATGACTCTACCACACACAGAAAGTGGGCTGAGGGCTAACACACCCATATAAATGCCTGGCAAAAACACATTAAATGAACACACAGATAAAGAAGGTTCTCCTGTTATCCATGAAATATTCAGAAACAAATCCAGTAAGCAATCTCTTTGCAATCAAAAGACCAATTCACAGGTGCAGATTAAAAATAAACATACAACTGAACCCTTAATACACCAAGAACCAAATTCCACGGAAGTGTTATTACATCACCACCTCCCAGCTAAAGGAAGCAGCACTGGCCACTGACCAGCTGTTCACTCGTGGGTCAGTGAACGAAAGGCAGTGCTGTCCAGGACAACAATGAGATTGTTAACCTGAAAAGGGCAAAATTGCAGAGACTGGAGGGACCTTCCAGGTAATCTGGCCCCCTCAGTGGACAGAGGACCCCCTTGGGGCCACAGAGCCCAGAGCTCCAGTGTGTTCGGGGCGAGGACT